AAGGTTGCCTACCCCTGGTCTAGGTCAACATTAGAATTTCCCAATAGCATTTGAAAAAAAGGGGGGGGCATGCAGTCAGCCTGCTGTGCCTCTACTTTGCCTCTAGTTAATTGGTCATTTTAGCTAGGCTGCCTACGAGCTTCGGAAGCATCTTATCCTAGTACAGTGATGGCAAACCTTTTAGAGACCGAGTGCCCAAACTGCAACCCAAAACCACTTATGTATCGCCAGGTGCCGGGTGGGCATGGCCCAGCAGGTGGGCGTGGCTACAGTGGTCATGGCAGATGGGTGGGCGTGTGGCCAGGGTGGGCATGGTCAGCTCAATGTTGCTCCTGGGGAGGGATGCCTGTGGGGGCCAAGCAGGGTTGGGGGAGATCCAGGGGGTCTCTGGTGGGTGGGGTGGTGGGCAGGAGGCTCATCCTGCAGGGTGAGGTGAGGCAAGGTGAGGCAGGGTGGAGGTGCCACTGTTGCAGGGCAGGGCGAGGGAGGTGCTGCCTGACACTATTGGCCCCCGCACACAGAGGCCAGTGAACGCATGGGTGCTGGGATGCATCCAGCCATGTGGGACCTTGGCGAGTTAGCGGGCGGCTGGTTGAAGAGGACGGCTGCCATCTCTGGGGCATGGCATGCGTGCCCACAGAGAGGGCTCTGAGTGCTGCCTCTGGCACGCGTGCCATAGGTTTGCCATCACTGTCCTAGTAGATGGGTGAACTGTCTTTCTAAAACAGCTTCATGGGGATCTTTTTCTTTCTTTTTAATCAGGTGAAATTGACAAGACTCCTTGTCAGTGTCTTCTTCTACCACAAGTGATAGGTAGGAGGAAAAAAATTGGGGTTTAATTCGGGGTCCCTCTCTTCCTATCAGTCCATTGCTGAGTGCATTGGATAGGAAGGCGCTTTCTTTGTCAGAATAAAGCTGGAAGGGACCTTGGAGGTCTTCCAGTCCAGAAGCCCCCAACCTTTTGGGTACCAGGGACCGGTTCCATGGAGAAAGGTTTTTCCACAGACTGGAGAGTGTGTAGTTTTGTGTGCTGCCTGCATCCCACGGATGGAGCTTTGCTTGTTTGTGTGGACCGGTTGCTGGCATGCTGCGGCCCGGTACCGGTCCATGGACCAGGGGTTGGGGACCCCTGTTCTAGTCCAGCCCCCTGCTCAAGCAGGAGACCCTATACCATTTCATACAAGTGGCTGTCCAGTCTCTTCTTAAAAACCTCCAGTGATAGAACACCCACAACTTCTGAAGGCAATCCGTTCCTCTGGTTAATTGTTCTCACTATTAGGAAGTTTCTCCTTAATTCCAGGTTGCATCTGTCCTTGATTAATTTCCATCCATTGTTTCCTGTCCTGCCCTCTGGTGCTTTGGAAAATAAGTTGACCTCCTTTGTGGCAGCCCCTCAAATACTAGAATATTGCTATCATGTCACCCCTAGTTCTTCTTTTCTCAAGACTAGCCATACCCAGTTCCTGCAACTGTTCTTTCATATGTTTTAGTCTCCAGGCCTTTAATCATTTTAGTTGCTCTTCTTTAAACTTTTTCCAAAGTCTCAACATCTTTTTTGTTATGTAGTGACCAAAACTGGATGCAATATTGCAGGTGTAGTCTTACTAAGGTTTTATACTTCATGTGATTTTGATTCTATGCCTCTGTTTATACAACAAAGGATTATATTAGCTTTTTGGCTGCTGCCGCACACTGCTGGCTCATAGTCAAATGATCGTCCACTAGGACTCCAAGGTCCCTCTCACAGTTACTGTTTTTGAGCCAGGTTTCTCCTAATCTGTACTTGAAACTGCCTAAGTGTAAAACCATGCTTTTACAAGATACAAAGTGCAAAATACAAAATACAAAGTAGAGGTAATGTTTGGGAAATGACACGTCTGCAAGAAAACAGCCAAGTCCACAGAGCACCAACAACCGTTCAAAAGAAGGCTGGTGCAAAGATTTATCAAGAGAGACAACATATATAGTAGATAGTCCTCAACCTATGACTGTAATTGAGCTTGGAGTTATGGTTAAGTAATGCTGGTTGTTAAATGCGTCAGCATGTGACTGCCCCTGACTTTTACAATATTTTTTGAGGTGGTCATAAAGTGAATCTATTGTCTCAAATGGGCATTTTTTTTTACCTCAAACCTGAAGTAGATGCCTTTTTCTGGCAAAAAAATAAACAAAAAAACAAAAAAACACACACATAAATTTTGGACCCATGACTGGGAAGAACACCTGACTTTTCTTAAATTATAGCTGAGCAAAGTGAAATGTCAACTCTAAACCAGAAAGAGCATTAACTTTTCATACTTATTTTCAGCTTCAAAAGGTAGTTAGCGTCTGTATTAGCCATTTCTTCCAGCGAGGAATTCCTTTGTTCCTTTGGTTTTTAATAAAAACCCAGACAAGATCACCAACATTGTCTGGTGTTTTAAAAAAAAAAACCTAATTTGTGCTTAAATACAATTTCAGCACTAACCTGTTCCAAGTGAATGATCAAAAATACTGCTGGTTTTTCCCCCCCTGCTTCTGGCCTTAGAATTAGTTATTTCTGCTTGTCATTACTTCTTGTCAACTAATTAAAAGGCAGCTAATGACCAGAGAAAGTACCAGGAAATGACTAATTAAAGAAAGCAAATGAGAATCTCAATTAAATATTTTAATCAAGGAAGGGGGGGTGGTAGAGGATAATTCTTAATTACATGGTAGAAAGGCAGAAATAGGAAGACCACTTCTGAATAAATGTACATTAACGTTACAGAACTGCTAAAGGGACTATATTCCACACTTTTAATTGTAATTCCACCTCAGAGTGGAGAAACAGTGTCCCTGAAATGGAAAAAATGGTATTAAGCAAGAATCACTCATGGATTAGCTATTTTCCCATGGCAGATTAAAGTGAAGAGCCTAGAACAGCCCATTTTTGGTGTCAAAAGCTAATTTTTTGTCAGCGAAGAAGAACACTACCTAATGTGTGTTCTTTAAGTTACAGTAACTAACCACATAAATTTTAAAATAATGCTGTGGGCTTCCTTTAAAAAAAAACCAAAGATGGAATATTAAAATAAGCAGACTTTCAGTGAAGTAATCTTCAAAGCTCCACTATCCTGTTTTCTGAGTTTATTAAATGTTTCCCTTTGCGGTGAGAATCAACAGAGTTTGCTAATGCAAAGGACTAAAATTATATGGCAGGCAGTTTAAGGCCTGTTTTGATATAAACACAGGAGCTAAAGCAGAAAGCTTGCATTCCAGCACTAAAAATAAGTCTGACAGCTCACAATAGACATGCCATATTTTCATCTCTTCCATCATGTCAGTTCCTGAGTGGGAATTTAGGATTAAAATGCTTTTTTTTTTCTCAGGGCCTGCTCAGAGCATCCAAGGGCTACTGGACTGCTACAAACTGGAGAAATAGCCTGGGAACGAATCTCGATGTTTAGATCATGAAAAGATCTGGGCGAGATGAGACAAAAAGTTGATCAAATCCTGTGGCCAAACTGAATAATTGTTCCTGCAAAGTATTTGTTCCCATAAATGGAATGCAATAGATCCTTCCCATAATTTCCTTCTGGTAACTGGGATTAAGTAGTCTGCGTCATGAACAGAGAGGTTTTATTTGGTCAAGAAGCCACTGACTTTTCCCCTCTCCTACTTTGGAACAGCCTCTGTGGCAGAACTAAATTTCCCCTCCAGATGTTGACTACAGGTAGTCCTCGACTTACAACAGTTCATTTAGTGACCTTCCAAAGTTACAAACGGCACTGAAAGAAGTGACTTTTGACCATTTTTCACACTTACAGTTTTTGCAGCATCCCCCATGGGGGATCACGAGATCAAAATTTGGACACTTGGCAACTGACTCATATTTATGACGGTCGCAGTGTCCCGGGGTCATGGGGTTTACCTTTTACGACCTTCTTACAAGCAAAGTCAATGGGGGAGCCAGATTCACTTAACAACTGTGTGACTAACTTAACAACTGCAGTGATTCACTTAAGAACGGTGGCAAAACTCACTTAACAATGTCTCACTTAAACAACAGAAATTTGGGGCTCAGTTGTGGTTGTTAAGTCAAGGACTGCCTGTAGATCTTTTTAGCGCAATTGCAACTAGAGAGGTTTAGGCTGGGAAAAACTGGTATGCTGCTCCTGGACTTGGAGGATCCATTCACCTTACAAAATAATTACACCGTCATGGGAATAAAATCCCACTGAACTCAACGGAATGTCTGTCTGAAAATCCAACGCGGCCAGGAATCTTGTTCATGGCAAGTTAGCAAACTTTTATCAGCTAGGCTTGCAGAGCGCACTTAACTTGGTTATTATATTATCCCGTTTTCTGGGTGTGAGTTTAACTACCCATGAAGCTACCCACCCCATCTAACCACCCTTAGCATTAATCAAGCCTTGTCGAAATGCAGCGGCAGGGTCTTTTAAACTGACCTGCTCAAACGCCTCGTGCGAACCCAGCCACCGTGGGAAGAACCCAAAGCCGTGTCAGAGGCCCCTTGCACAAAGGACGGGAAACTCGCCAAACTACGAGCCAATTTCGCTTCTTCATTCTCCCTCCACTCACATCGTGGGATAGAGGGGTGGCGGAACCCACAAAGCCCAGCATCATGGCCCGGAACCAGAACCAAAAAAAAAGATGACCCATTCAGACGACCGGTTTCATTCCGGCTTAATCCATGGGCTGGGAAAGAAGCGGGCGGGCGGGCGCGCGACGAGGGCGGGTCTTTAAAACTCCGTTCAAACGCTCCCCCCCTCCCTCCCCCCCCGGACGTCCGCAGCCCGAGAGGTTATATAGCCGCGGGACGGTGCAGCGGGCAAGTCCAGTTGCTTCCCGGGCATCGGAGGGGGCAAAAGAGAAGCAGCGGACCAATTCGAGCAGGGTCTCGGCTGCTGTAGCATCTCCGTGTCCCGGGTCAGCTCTTGCCTGCCCGCCCGCCCGTCCGCCCGACGGAGAAGTTGCGACTTTGGCTGACTTTGAAAGCGCTCGAAGTGGCGCCGGGGATGAATGGCCTGCGGGTGGCCATGCTGGGCAGCGAAGGGACGGGCAAATCCGGTAAGGCGTTAAAGCAGGGGGCTTTCGGCGTGGCGCTTCTGGCGGGCGGGGGGGGCGGGTTTGCTGGCTTCCGAAGGGAATCGTAGGCTCACACGTACACGCGCGATCGCGGGATCACACGCCCTGAGCACACTTTTGAACATAAGAAGCTGGTGAAAAATAACAGAGCTGGAAGGGACCATGGAGGACTTCTAGTCCAACCCCCTGCTCAGGCAGGGGTAGGTAACCTTGGCTTTTTTTATGACTCCTGGACTTCAACTCCCAGAATTCCTGAGCCACCCATGCTGGCTCAGGAATTCTGGGAGTTGAAGTCGAGGAGTCATGAAAGAGCCAAGGTTGCCTACCCTTGCCCTACACCATTTGAGACCAAATGGTTGTCCAATCTCTTCTTAAAAACCTCCAGTGTTGCAGCGTTCACAACTTCTGGTGGCAGGTCGTTCCTCTGATTAAATGTTCTAACTGTTAGGAAATTGCTCCTCAGTTCTAGGTTGCCTCTTTCCTTGATTGGCTTCCATCCGTTGCTTCATGGAGAATAGGTTGCCCCCCCTCTTCTTTGTGGCAACCTCTTTAGTCTGCTTTGAGTTGGGCTCCTCCTCTCCACTCCTGCAAAAATCCGCTTGACCACTAGATGGCAGAGGAAGACCCTCACTGAAATTCTCTGGTTGGCTGTACCTGATGTAGCAGCCCAGATAGAGTAGCACTTCTTCCTGATGTCTGCATGGAGACTTTTCTTAGCAAAGCTTATTGAAATTCTCTGCAGGTCCTAGTTTTGGAGTGGATTTTCTCACTCCCCAGGCCTATGGTTTCCTAGTGGTCTCCCATCCATCCAAGTACTAACCAGTTGAGCATGTTTTTGGAGACCACCCAAATCAACTGCATGCTGACCAACTCCAGTGGCACCTGATGGCAAGAAGCCATCCCAAAATTTGGCAAATGTCTTGCTGCTGTTTGCTATTACCCTTCTTTTTTTTTTTTCATTCAGTTGTGTCCAATTCTCAGAGACTGCCTGGACAAGTCCCTGCAGTTTTTTTGGCAAGTTTTTTTTCCAGAAGTGGTTTGCCATTGCCTCCTTCCTAGGGCTGAGATAGAGTAACTGGCTCAAGATTACTCAGCTGATTTCGTGCCCAAGGTGGAACTATATACGGTAGAATAGAGCTAGAAGGGACATTGGAGGTCTTCTAGTCCAGCCCCCCGCTTAAGCAGAACCTACACCATCTCAGACAGGTGATTGTCTAGTCTTTTCTTAAAGATCTCCAGTGATGGGGCGCCCACCATTTCTGGGGGTAAGCTGTTCCACTGGTTGATTGTCCTCACTGTCAGGAAGTTTCTCCTTAGTTCCAGGTTGCTTCTCTCTTTGATCAGTTTCCAACCGTTGTTTCTTGTTCTGCCCTCTGGTGTTCTGGTGAATAACGTGACCCCCTCTTCTTTGTGGCAGCCCCTCAAATACTGGACTACTGCTACCATCTCTCCCCTATTTCTTATTTTCTTTAGATTAGCCAAACCCAAGTCCCACAACCGTTTTTTGTATGTTTTAGTCTCCAGGCCTTTGATCATCTTAGTTTCTGTTCTCTGAATTTTTTCTAAACACTCAACATCTTTTTTGTGATATGGTGACCAAAATTGGCTGCAGTATTCCAGGTGTGCTCTTACTAGGGCTTTGTAAAGCGGTACTAGTACTTCACGTGCCTGACCCCTTAACCTTGCCACCTAACTGGCTCTCAGCCACTGATTACCTGTTGCAAATTCATTTTCCAACCTTTGAAATACATTCAGCTGATGCAGCAAAAGATATTTTGATAATAAGCTGATATCATTTTTTTAAAATAACTTTTTTGAGTTGCAAATTGTTCAGTTTATTAAATTAGAATGTTGACGTTTTATTGGAAAATAAGTGACTTGTAGTAATAGTCTTGGTATTTCCATTCTCCCAGTCCATAATTCCACTAACCTACTGATAGAAGCAATGAAATATAGTTTAGAATCAGTGATTTAAATTTCCATGAACAAATCTGGTGCAAAACTATTTTTTGCCATGGTAAGTGTAGGTTGAGAATATCTTATTAAAGATCACATTGTAAGTTATGGTGAAAGAAAAAGAGACTGGACAGCCATTTGCCTGAAATGGTATAGGTTTCCTGCCATAGCAGGGGGTTGGACTAGACCTCCAAGGTCCCTTCCAACTTTATTATTATTACTATTATTATTAAAAACCGTCCCGATTGTGTTTAATGTTTGGCTTATCACAATGTACATAGCTATAGATTATGTTGTGATAAGTAAATGAGATTATTATTAGTTATTCAACAAAATGTGGTTAAAATCCAGGATCATTTTTAGGATCTAATTCTAAATTTATAAATCCATTGGGATTCACACTCATGCTAAACCAGAATGCTGAGTCTTTGGTGTTGGACTTAGCAAAATATATGAACAAGCCAATGTGTTTTGTGCAACCTGGTTTAAGTCATAATCCATGTGCAGTGAACCTTGATGGTCTGTTTGATAATGGTTAGAATAAATTATGGCTTAGAGCAAAACATAAATCCTGTAACAGCCTTCCTTCTAATTTTAGGTTTTATCTCTAAGGTTCTAATTTTGGATGAAATGCAATTCTAGTCTAGTGTAGTTTGCATAAGCCCAAGGCGTAACTTGAAGATACATGATGCAACAATCATATCTGAAATCTGATCCAAGTGAAAGATTGCCTAGGTGTTCTTGCATCAGGGAAGATAAGCAAGAGAGAGAGAGAGATAATCTCAAAAAACAGATGTTCAGCTGGGCATTTCCAATAATGGAAAAAAATATAATTCCAGATAGCTATCTTTTTCTGCTTTTCCATCCATCCTTCTTCCCAGTTGTTTCTATGCAAAATTAGGTTAGCAATGGGGCTTCAATAGCCATCTCCACACAACCTGTTTGATCATGCAGGGTTGTTAATGCGGCTTTGCAGATGCTTTTTCTTAAGTTTAACCATTATCAGTGGCTGTCCTATGGCATACTGGACTGTGTGAACATGGAGTAATTGCCATTTCTGCTTGGAATTTGAAACGTGTTTGCCTTCTGGTTGGTGTGATAGGAGCATCACATTTGCCCCTCACAATAGGAGTTGAAGAACAGCTTGCAAATAGATCAGGGGTCTTCAAACTTGGCCACTTTAAGACTTGTGGACTTCAACTCCCAGAATTCCTCAGCCAGCTTGGCTTGCTGGCTGAGGAATTCTGGGAGTTGAAGTCCACAAGTCTTAAAGTGGCCAAGTTTGAAGACCCCTGCAATAGCTATAGTATGGAAGACTTTTGCCTTCACAGCACAAGGTAGTCCTCAACTTACAACCACAATTGGGACAGAACGTTTGTTGCTAAGCTATGTAGTTCTTAAAAGATTTGTGCCCAGTTTTGTGACCTTATCTGCCAAAAAAAACCCCATGCCTTCAAAACTCGAGTTAGCGGTTATCTTTGATTGTTACTTGGCTTTAATGTCATGGTCAATTTTTCCATGTCTCTTTGCTGCCATCAAGTGATTATGCATATTATTGCAGTCCAGTTTGGGCAGCCTTAATATGCTTGAATCAATCACGTAAAATAATAGCTGAATACAGTGTCTGAAGCCAGGCGCTGCTCCTGTATGGTAGTCTATTTAATTAATTAATTAATTAATTACTTTATTGATTAGCCCATGGGCCATATCAAGGTGCAGAGTTCCAAACACAGGTTATATTAAAAGGCAGTAAAAACAATTAAAAATGGAATTGGTTAAAATACAATTTAAAATAAAATACAATTTAAAATGAAATTAGAATCAAATACAGCAATTTAACATGTAGATAGATTTGTTGTTATTAGTTGCGAAGTCGTGTCCGATCCGTCGCGACCCCATGGACAACGTTCCTCCAGGCCTTCCTGTCCTCTACCATCTTCTGGAGTCCATTTAAGCTCACGCCGACTGCTTCAGTGACTCCATCCAGCCCCCTCATTCTCTGTCGTCCCCTTCTTCTATTGCCCTCCATCTTTCCCAGCATTAGGCTCTTCTCCAGTGAGTCCTTCCTTCTCATTAAGTGGCCAAAGTATTTCAGTTTCAACTTCAGGATCTGGCCTTCTAAAGAGCAGTCGGGGTTGATCTCCTCTAGGACTGACCGGTTTGATTGCCTGGCAGTCCAGGGGACTCGCAGGAGTCTTCTCCAGCACCATAGTTCAAAGGCCTCAATTCTTTGGCGCTCAGCCTTTCTTATGGTCCAACTTTCACAGCCATATGTAGATAGATAAAATATGATAAAATTATATTTCACCATCACTCCTACAATCTACCCCAATCAGTCTCACTTATGCCGATCTCAGCCGAACCATTTTGCTCAGGTACTGTGCTGTGTTAAATGTAATTTTCAAATTCTGGCCGCACATAAGGTAAGTTATTTTGATATGGGGATCCCAATGGTGGTCTATTTAGAAATTCGCCCACAAGGTAGGAATTATCACAGTCACATAAATACACCTTAACATTTGAGACTCTCTTCATTTCTCCATCTCTGGCGCCAGCAGTTGATTTCTGGTTTACATCTTGGGACTTAAATAAGGCTTGCATTATTGGCTAATTAAATTGGGAAGCTAGAACAAATATACAATTTTCAGAGCTGACGCAAAGTAGTGGTAGAAAGTACTGCTTGTCTGCTATATATAGGTTTGTAGCTTAACTCATAATCCAGTTATTAGCTGGATATGCCTGAATGCAAAAAAAAAATATTGCTAAAATCCAGGGCTATTTTCTTTGGAAAATCATGCAGCCAAAGCATCACTCACCTGACTCTTTTACTTTGTCTTTTGCAGCGCTTACGGTGCGCTTTCTAACAAAGCGTTTCATTGGAGAATATGCCTCTGATTCTGGTAAGTTTCCACTAACTTTGAATCTTCCTTGCATTTTATTTATACTCAAATGATTCAGACGTTAGTGGTGGTAAGGGAAGGGATTTTATAAAATGAGGAAACAGGAGATTAGTAAACGTTCTGAGCTCTGTACTTTAAGGAAAAATACAAAGATATACTACAGCTTTCTTTTAAAACTGAAGACTAACATCATTTCCTGGCTAAGTATCAGATTGAGACAGGGAAGAGGTAGCAATGGATTGATTCATCTTTGTTGTATTGTTTTGGGGAGGTATAAATGATGGTTTTTCTAGCCAGCCTGTTTATTTCTCTTTTTTCCCCATCACAGAATGCATTTATACAAAACATTTGTGTCTGGATGGAAAGCAAATTAACTTGGAAATATATGATCCTTGTTCCCAAGTAAGTTGGAAAACTAGACAGTGAACACACATCGTAAACACACCTTCCTCCTTCTCTTTTTCCTATAAACCCTGTGGGGCTGGGCTGAGAAAAAGTGACTGGTCCAAAGTCATCCAGCTAGCTTTCATGCCTAAGGCAGGATTAGAACTCATAGTCTCATTGTGATTGGCTCAAAGTCAGCCAGCTGACTTTCATGTCTAAGGCTGGACTAGAACTCACGTTCTCCTGGTGATTGCTCCAAAGTCATCCAGATGGCCTTCATGCCCTAAGGTGAGACTAGAACTCACTGTCTTCTGGTGATTGGCGCAAGGTTTTCCAACTGGCTTTTGTGCCTAGGAAGGGACTAGAACTCACTGTCTCCTGGTGATTGGCCCAAACTCATCTCACCGGCTTTCATGCCTAAAGCAGGACTAGAACTGAATAGCAGAAGGAATTCACTGCCACAAGTTGCTGAGAAGGGAGACACTTACCAAACAACCAGAGATAATGAATTGTTTTATTGGGTTATAAAAGAATTAGGCCTGCCCCTGACACCAGCTATACTTTGGTGCCTTTAAGATGTTTTTTGACTCTCATATGACAGTATCTTGAATGATAGTTTGATTTAGCCAGGCAGAGAATTCACATAAATTGCAGTTTAAAAAAAACCAACAGATTGTGTAATTCAGTTCATGCACAGATTGCATTGTGCTTCTACCAAAGTGGATTTTCTTCGCTTTCAGACAATGCCAGTTGGAGAATTTGATTACAGCTGATAGGGGCTCTTCACTTAGTTGGTTATCTAAATAATTTTGGTCTACTTACCATCTCTCAGTGTAAATCTATTTTACTTGGTCCTGGTGGGGAATAAAACAAACAGAACCAGGAAACTGATAAAACCATGCATACTAACTGCTTTATAAAAAGCATGGAATAAAATTTCTCATCTGAAAAAAAAAAGTTCCAACATAATTGTATAGGGCAGTGGTGGCGAACCTATGGCACGCGTGCCAGAGGCGGCACTCAGAGCCCTCTCTGTGGGCACGCACGCCATTGCCCTGGCTCTGCCACCCCCCATGGCCCCTTCCTCACCAGCAGCCCCCCCCGGAGGAGAGTTGCCCCGGGTTCAGCCTGTGCAGAGCAGCGCAGCCAAGGACATGGCAGCTGGGCAGTGGGGACAAGACTCCGCCCTCGCGCCCTGTCACGTACAGATGATGCGGGGCACAGACAGAAGGCATGGCTGCCATGACGCTCCTGGGCCGCCTGGGCAATCTGCTGTGGCGGGCTGTGGATGTGGGTGGCCCTGCAGGCATGAAATGTGGGACGGGGCAGGGGTGAGGCAGCTTTTGGGCACTTGGTCTCTAAAAGGTTCACCATCACTGGTATAAGGAATGAGTACACCTTTGGGAGACCCAAAAGGTTGGGCTAGAGACAGATCCTCCAGGAGAAAAATCTATGAGTTGATACCAACATAATGGCGGGTAATCAATTTTGTTCCAATTAAGCTGAAACAGTGTCTTTTCCAGTGGTGGGATTCAGCCAGTTCACACCAGTACTGGCAGAACCGGTAGCTAATTTTTTGTTGCCCAGACCCAGAATGGACTTCCGGAAGCGGCATCCAGACAGAGAACTGGTTGTTCACATATTTGAATCCCACCACTGGTCTTTTTCCAACCGAAAGCACAGTATAAACTGCTTGTCGTTTTGCCTTCCAGCCTCGACCAGGAAAGTTGTTGCTTACAGATGAACTCCAATGGGCAGATGGATTCGTTGTGGTCTATGACATCAGTGACAGAACTTCATTTGGTTTCGCAAAAGCATTGCTATACCGGATCCGTGAATGTCATGCCGGAACTTGCAAAAGGCAAGTTAGCTAGTGACTACGACTAGGAAAATTGAAAATTGGTGTGGACCGTAAGCGAAATGGGGCTAGATTCAGACTTGATCCCTTTAAATCAGGGGTGGGAACCATGGCCCTTTTATGACTTGTGGACTTCAACTCCTGCTTCACTTAAGGCAGGGGTAATCCACCCCTGCTTGAAGTGAAGACCCAATAAAAGCCAGGAGCAATGACTCCAATGGACTGCAGTGCATCTACCTAGTTTGACTCAGCCAATCCTCCTCTTAACTCACAGACCTACCAAATAGGAATTGTGCATAGTTTAAAACTCAGTTTATTAGGGTCAGCTTATCTACGGTGCCGGATCAAGCTACTGTACCTCAGAGTAAGTTTTATTGAACCGGGTGACATTTATAACTATCAGCCAGCTGAAATTCAATCTCCGCTTTTAATTGCAGTGTGGGAAAGAAATTGCTAGTGTGAAGGATGATCCCCATCCAATAAAAGCAACTCTCCAATGACCGGCTATTTTTCACAACCTTTGTCTTCATATACGTGAATCTGTCACCATCGATAGTCCACCGTGAAAAGTTCATGTTTGTAGAGAAAATGGCCAGCAGTTGCTCAAATTTCACCCTCCTTGCTTAAAAAGCAAACAAACTCTAGGGATCAATCAGGGTTCCAACAGAAACATTTTAGAATTTTGCCGAAACAGTTCCCCAAACGGTTCTTTTTGAAATCACAACAATTCCATTGTGTTAAAAATATAGGCTGGTCCTATAGAGAAGACACCTTATTCTTTGTTGATTTTTAACTTAGGCATTACATACTGAATATGATATAAATGGAAAACATTTTTTTTAAAAAAGAGGGGGATGTATAAATTACATAGATGAGCTCAACTGGTGCATCAGTATACAAACACACACTCCCTTCTATCAAACAATGTCATCTGGGCGGACCCAGGACTTGTGTCTTCTCTGTAGTGGTATCTGCCTTATGGAACAGCCTCTCTTTTGAGATTTGGGAAGCTTCTACTCTATTTGTCCTCTATCGTCCCTCCCTCCCTCTCATCTATCTATCATCTATCAATCATCTATATCATCTATCTATCTAATCTATCATCTATCAATCCTATCTCTATCTATCTATCTATCTATCTATCTATCTATCATCTATCATCTATCAATCATCTATATCTATATCAATCATCTATCATCAATCTATCTATCTATCTATCTATCTATATCTATATTAATCATCTATCTATCATCTATCAATCATCTATATCTATATCAATCATCTATCAATCATCTATCTATCTATCTCTATCTATATTAATCATCTATCTCATCTATCATCTATCAATCTATCTCTCTATCTCTATCTATCTATCATCTATCATCTATCAATCATCTATATCTATATCAATCATCTATCTATCTATCTATCTATCTCTATATTAATCATCTATCTATCTATCATCTATCATCTATCAATCATCTATATCTATATCGATCATCTATCTATCTATCTATCTATCTATCTATCTATCTATCTATCTATCTATCTATCTATCTATCTATCTCTTCTCTCATCTCTCTCTCATCTCTCATCTCTGTCCATCATCTTACAGCTAGAAAGTTGTGAAGACCTGGCTGTTTCTTCCTGCTCTGGACCGGGATGTGGGCTGAGCCCAGGACATGTGCAGTTGGCGGGTATTGCTCTGGTACCTTGATTAGAGTGCAATGGCCTTTGATTTTTTGAAATTTGAATTTGTATCTTTTAATGTATTTACTGTTTCGATGCTCAAGGTTGAATTGTACAGACAGTTCTCAAGTTATGGCCATAATGGAGCCTGCCCATCCCAGTTGTAAAACAGCGTGGTTGTTAAGTGGACCAATGACTCACTATAGCTGCGGTTCTGCTGAAAACTGGAAGTAAATAACAGTTTTTGGCAAAACCATCATAAAGTACAATCGCGCAACCATGGGATACTGCAAACAGCCATACCTATGGCTGAGTTGCTGAGCATCTGAAGTGCTGTCATGTGATGATAGGGATTGTACATACCAGGTAAGGACCATTGGAACTTTGAACAGTTGCTAAGCAACTGGTCATAAGTTGAGAACTACCTGTATAAGATAGTGTTTTAACATAAATGGTTTAACTAAATAAAAATATATTGCCTCTTGTACAATTTACACGTGATCTAACATTTAAAAAAAGTTAACAGAAATAACTGATGTAAACACGAGCTAAGCGGAAGAAAGTTCCTTGTTTATAATTTTCTTTTTGTCTACGTTGTTTTTCCAGAGCATCAGAGTGCACCGTGTTTCTGGTTGGGAACAAACAGGATTTGTGCCACATACGAGAAGTTGGTTGGGATGAAGGACAGAAGTTGGCCTTGGATTACAGATGCCAGTTTTGTGAACTGTCAGCTGCGGAACAATGCCAGGAAGTGGGAACGATGTTCATCCAAGCTTTGAGAAGCCTCACGGCTCATCCCAAGGGGAAGGAGAAGAGACGGCCCAGCGGTTCAAAATCCATGGCCAAACTGATTAATAACATGTTTGGAAAGAGGAGAAAGTCTGTTTAGTGAGAGGCCCACCAGAAATGGGCAGGGAGCCATGACACGGTCTCCCTCACACATATGCATACACATGCACAAAGGATCTAGTCCACATGAAGATCTTAGCATGTCACACAAGGAAGCCATAGAAGTGACTGGCATATTCCCACCCGGCATGGCAAAATCATTGCTTAAATCTAGCCTTTTGATAACTCCTCTGGGAATATAGTTTTGTATGGAGCAGGTTGACTTTAGAGCATACGAAAGTTCTGTATATGGTTATTAAGGAGTGAGTTGTAAGTTAATCGCTAATAATCTTAAATGGATCTAGGCAGGCAATATGTATAAGGCCAGGAAAACTATGTGGTGCAGTGCCTACATCGGTGTTTCCCATGCTTAGCCATTTTCAAGATGTGTGGACTTCAACTCCCAGAATACCCCAGCCAGCATTCCAATGCTGCCTGGAGTATTCTGGGAGTTGAAGTCCACCTATCTTAAAAACATTGGTCTAAATTATGGTATTGATTTCAACAACAACAAAACTCTTTCGGTCTGGGAGAAAGGAAGGTAGGCCAACATTTACAACTGGGAAAGGATTACCCCAAATACCAGAAAGCAGGAGAGAAGGAAAATCTTGAACTGTTGGCATCTTTTCCAGAAATGATATTAAACTCATAAATCAATTTAAGGAGATGCTTTCCTGGCTACCGTTCCTTTCCTTAGATAGCTTGGAACAGGCTTAGGAAAAGATTAAAATATGATTGAAGTCGTATCAGCTAATTCGTTTTTTCCAGCTTTTGGCTACAATCATGTGACAGACCCACGTGATCAGCTTTTCCTTCTAATATATTTTAGTGCCTTTTTACCACTTAAGTGTAGAGTCAGGGGCTTCTTGCTAAGGCCGGCCTTACACTAAATATTGTAAAACCACTGGGAGGCTGATGGCTTTTTAGGTAAACGGGGGGGGGGACAGAATGTAAGCATATCGCTGAATTAAGTTTGTGGAAAATTTAATCTCCACCTCTCGCTGTTTTTCCCGCTTATGGGTAGTAACATGAACAGGAGGATGTAAAAATGCATTTGGAAATGTGAACGCTCTTTCGCTCTCCAAAATATGCAACTCTCAACAGCTGCCCAGAAGCATCGCTTGATAGTGAGCTGGGCAGCTTATTAATTTAATAAATAAATAATACAAATAACACGGCTCTTTGAGATGGTAGCATTCCAATTTATGTCGTTCGAGGAAAGTGTGGGGGGGGGGCAGCTTCAGCACGAACTGGCAAAGTATATTTTCCGTTCATTTTCTCTCTTATACACAGTTTTTTTTTCTACAGTGAAACCAGTCAAGGGGTGCATCTTTTAGGAGTTGTTGATTTCTCATTATGGGTTTTGGAGTTATTGCTTTCTGTTGAGTAAGCCCAGGCTGATGCGGAGATCAAAGCAAAGAAATTCAAGCAAATCAAAAAAAAAAAGTCAACATAGTGTACTTGACTGATCTAAGAGGCATCACTCTCAACCTACCCACCGCTAGCAGGCTACTGTTGCTATGGTCTTCCAAGAGTTGAGAATGGTCCAAAGTCACCCAACTGGCTTCTTGCATAAGCAAAAGTAAAACTCACAGTCCCTCAGTTTCAAGCTTTTGTGACTTTAACCCCTAGACCAGGGGTAGGCAACCTTGGCTCTTTTATGACTCGTGGACTTCAACTCCCAGAATTCCTGAGCCAGCCATGCTGAGGGAAAAGGGGGTTTCCATGCTGAGCCATGGCTGGCTCAGGAATTCTGGGAATTGAAGTCCACGAGTCATAAAAGAGCCAAGGTTGCCTACCCCTGCCCTAGACAAAACAGTTTCTCACTGCTTAACAACATACAACCGCTGCTGACAATTTTATGTCTGCTGGTGGGAGGAGATGTCAAACGAAAGAAAACATTTTCATCAGCAGTTGATGGCGATTCACAGTTCATGATGTTATGCTGCCTTCCCTGCATAAAACAGCAATATGCATTGGGAGCCATTCTATTCACTCAGCATTGAGAGACTTGTATGTGTCCCAGGAAACAGAATAAAACTATCTCCTTATTTTAAGTTTCGAAAAAGAATGTTTCATGTCTTTTAACGTGTCATGTCTCTAGATTTGCTGATAGATGTTACGATGAACAGGTCTTTTGTATCAGCTGTGATCTTTTCCGAGCCGGTCTATTTTTGCAGAGGAATTTTGCAATTTGGCAATCATTTGGTTCGATCTTCTCTTGGTGGCTGTAACATAGAGGGAGTTGAAGTCCACAAGTCTTAAAAGTGCCAAGTTTGAAGACCCCTGAGCTAGCTGGTAGTGGTGCATATTAATAAACATGGATAAATTCATCATACATTTGTCAGTGCAAAGGGAAAGTGATTCAGCAAAGGAACAGCCATCAAAGAAATTAAAGCTGGTATTTTTTTCCTACAGTTTGTAATATTTTATTAGATTATAGAATGAAATACAAAAATATAAAAGCAAATAGGGGGAGGAAAAGGGGAAAAAGTGAGGGGGAGAAGGGAAAAAGAACAGACTTCCTCTGTTGCAGTAGAAGGAAGCATTAACATTGAACCTCAATGTTTTACTTTTCCATATTATAAACTAGCCATTTCTATAACAACAAATGAATCTAATCAGTAAAACCCAAAATCCCCCCTTTTTTTAGTCATCAAGTTTTTGACACCTTGCTAAGCACTGGTGGTACTCAAATATTGTCATGTCCTAAAAGTGGTACAATCTGTGATAAGGTTGAAAAGCGCTGACATAGACAATAAAAGTCCACCCTTGGAAAATGTCCAGAAGTTGCAATTGGTATAAAATAGGGCAGATCCACAGATGCCCATAGAAAGGTGATGGTGACCTTTCTATCAAACAGTAGTGTTTGCCAACAGTAGTGTTGTGACTGAAGCCCTGGCCTTTTTGTATATGCATGCAATATTTCAAGATGTACAAAAAAGGAGCATAGCTTTGACTGCAATACAAAGCCATCATCTTGCTGATTTTGTTGCACTTATACTGGTTCTGCTAGTAGTTCATGCCCTAATACAGGGGTAGTCAACCTTGGCTCTTTTATGACTCGTGGACTTCAACTCCCAGAATTCCTGAGCCAGCTAAGCTGGCTCAGGAATTCTGGGAATTGAAGTCCACGAGTCATAAAACAGCCAAGGTTGACTACCCCTGCCCTAATATGTCACCTTCAAAGCCCTATAAGGCTTAGGACCAGATTATTTTGAAGGACCATCTTTTCCTGATCACATCTACCTGACCCACAAAAGTGGAGACGCAGGGAATGCTATGGGTCCTCTCTCCTAAGAAAGTCCATCTAATGGGACCAAGAAGAAGGGCCTTCTCCACAGTGGCTCCCTCCCTGTGAAACATCATCCCCATGGAGATAGGATTGCCCCCTACTCTGATGCTCTTTCAAAGGGCTCTGAAAATCTAGTTTTGCCAACAGGCCTGGGGACCCCAGAGTGGATGGAGCCCATCAAATGGCACATTCAATTGTGGCTGCCAAGGGCTTGTGGGATTAACAGAATAACAGAGTTGGAAGGGACTTTGGAGGTCTTCTAGTCCAGGGGTGTCAAACGCGCAACATCACGTGATGTGTCGTGACGTACTGTGACTTTCCATTGCTGGCAATGGGGTGGGCGCAGTTTTGGCATGATGCATCTGGCCCGCGGGCCAGCAATTTGACACCCTTGTTCTAGTCCAACTCTCTGCTTAAGCAGGAAACCCTATAACATTTCAGACAAATGGTTGTCCAACCAGACCCCTGTCACTGTTCAGACTTGATAAAAACAACTCATAAAAACAGCCCAGTGTAAAAGTATATCCAGAAGTAAAAGTATACCCAGAAGTATGTCCAGAACCTAACAATGATGGTGTTACCTAGCTGGGTGGTGAAACATCCGCAAGAAGTTTGCTTTTTATTGTTTTTACATTGGGTTTTTATCCTTGTAAGCCACCCAGAGTCACTGAGAGTTGGGCGGCCGTATAAATTTTCTTAAACAAACAAACAAGGGACTGCCTTTCCCATTGCTGTTAAGATCAGAAGATATCCTTTGCGTTTTCTATTTAAGTCAATAAAAATGAATTTTAAGAAGAGAAGAAACAAAAGCAGAGTAGCTGCTTCCCACTGCTTCCCACTTATATCAACAAGAGGAGTGAGGCTATTTCTGCTTTTTTTCCCCCTCAGCAGATGGATATCCAGCTTGATGGTGGACAGTTTATGCATAAGTTCAAGAACTAGAGGACATGACAGGTGCTGATTGCCTGCAAAGCTGCAAGCAGGTGCCAGCCAACTATTGATGTGCCCAGGGAAGTAGCCAAAAAGCATGCATTATCAGAGTATAACTTCATACCTCAACAAAGACCATTCCAAAACCGTCAGAGTAATCATCCCAAACCAACAAGCAAACAAATAAAAAGTTTATGAGCTTTACAACACCCTTTCCCAAACATTCTGCCTCTCTTCTATTAGTACTAATATTCTTTTTGCAGTCCTAGGAAGAGAATATCTGTAGCTCAGAGTTGAGTTGTGGAGTCCCTGATGCTCTTTCAGCTTGGTTGTTTGCATGCAGATGTTTGTTATTTGACTAGATAACACCGAAACACCACAATATATATAAAAAAAGATGTTGAAACTCTGGAAAGAGTGCAGAGAAGAGTGACAAAGACAGGGGGGGGGACTAAAACATATGAAGAATGGTTACATGTGTGGAATTGCAGATGTTGTTTAAGACATTGCTACCAAATAATATCAATGCTGACTTTTACCTTCCTATTTAATCCAAAAAAGAAGAACAGACTATCAGTTTTACAATGTCTATTTTGTGGGGTCCATGGTGTGCTCAGAGCTTGGATGTTTTCTTTACCAATATTTCATTACCAACTAGGTAGCATCATCAGTGATCAGTGATGTTACCTAGTGGGGTAATGACATGTCTGCAAGAAAACAACAAAGCTCAGGGGGCACCAAGGACCACACAGTTCAATCCTGTGCTGTGGTTGCAGGATTTGGGTATGTCTACTTCAGGGGT